TCGTCTATGGGGATGCTTTCCAAAACGTGACGAAGTCAATAGACTGACGACTAGGTCTAAAGGCCATCTGATCATGTTGGGCTTACTGTTCCCAAGTTCTACTCGGACATCTATTGATAACAGAAACTTAGATCTTCGGCACCGTGATTCCCTTTTGGTTATCGTAGGACGATTTCTCTCCTTTCCTGTGGACTGCCACAATCAGCGTCTGATAAATTGTTGTTTGCGTTAGTCTAACTACTTATCCTTGTTCGCCGTCGTTTAGCATCTCCAGTGCAACCCCATTTTTGCCGGATGCTCTTCTCCGTCTCGGTTACTTACAGCTTTATATATTTCTGTTGGAGTTTTACAACCTTTCCTCATATATCACTGGGAAGGATTGGATAACGGAAACTGAACAGTAACTGGAGACCGATTGAAGTGTTCCTCGAAGTGTCCCGCTCATCGTTCCTCACCATTTCTAAAAGAAATTGAAAAACTGTTGTTTCGTGTACTTAAACCTCCATTGGCGGTTTTCGATGATCTAAATCAATCTGTCTGTTAACCCAAAAGTAGTGCTTTAGATGCTGCGGTTGTTTTTCATCATAACACTTGCCAGTTTGAACAAAGGTGCTACTTTAGATCTGCCTTTTTAGACTATACTTCTGCTTCTGATTCTGTCTCTAAACCTGTACTGATGAACAAGCTTACTAGAACTCACATTGAGTCCTTGATTGACAACTGGCTTCATTCTCATTTTTCCGAGGGAAGACAGTACACCCTATACAGAGGTATGTGCTCTACTTTACTACTTAGTTAAACTGGTGTGCTTCATAGTGCTGCTCTTTCTCCTTTTTCTTTTTCCTTCTTTTTGCATATCTTACCGATTTCAAATAGAGCTAACTAAGTATCCGGATGACCTAATAATATCCCTATTGGCCATCGCCTTATCAAATCGTTCTCAGTTTAATAACTTCTCAACTGAAATTGACCCTTGGTCTTCCTTGAATGGCTTCACACTGTATCCCCTCAAATGTCAGATGTTTAATTTTGGTCTAAGATGCGAACAATTGAAGCAGTTCTGCTTCATTTTCATAACTCATTTCTTATTGATAACTCTGTTATAGAGAAAATATCGTATGTGATTCATCTTGGCTAATGCTTTTCTTCTTTTTTAGTCCCTCCATATTTTACTGATTTCGAGGCAAGTCCTTCACCTAACCCTTTATATGAGGAAAATCAAGCTGTCTCGTATAACTCAGTCTCTACTTTTGTGTTTCGTTAATTTCTGTATTTTGTTAACTCTGTGACTCCACCATACGTAGGCACTGCCACGAAGACATCTATAGTCAAGAATCTGTAACCTCTTCATGTCTACTTTCAGCGGCCGTCTTACAGCCATATAAAAGGACGGAGCGGACTGTAGTGCAATATACTAATTATTTAATAGGTAACCTGTCCTTTGGTGCCAGAGATGACGCAAGTTCACAAATGCTAAATGGACCTTTTTTATAGCAGAGTAGATCTGATACCATGCTTCTTCTGGTTGAGTGGTGATCATGTTGTAATAACTGTCCGGGTAGTTCCTCAATGAAATTAGCCTTAGCATTCTCTTTATCGAGCTGGACTCACAGTGATCTTCAAGTTTTGTCTTTCTGCGACCATTTATGTTTACGTGGGTGTCTTAGAACCAAAGCGTGATCAGTTTCCAAGGGATTGCTTCAGAATGTTTAATAATCTTCCTGCACCTCTTCTTGTCGATAACTAATTGGAATATGATCCATCTCTGTCAGGTTTATTTCGGTGGACATCAAGTTAGACGTTGTTTTCGTATGTTTGAAATATAGGCTTTTCAGAAATAGGTGGTTATCTGAGCAGTTGTAATAGGTGATTTTGGTTATCTGTGCGTCTGAGTGAGATTTCTAAGTTCCATTAAGGTATCTTTCTGTTTTATTTAGCCTTCACACTTGTGGATTGAAATCACGTGCGACATGTACATCTGAACGCTTGGTTTTCAGTGGGAAGCTAGACAGTCTTCAACAGAACTCATCTTTCATTTCCCCCGAACTGTGGTCATTGGATGTGTTAGCAGAGAGTATGAATCGATAACGGCTAGTCTCACTCTTCTTAGTTCTCATTCCCTCTTTCAGTCGAATAATGCTTAGGTGAACGTCAACTGTGATCCAGTCGACCAGTGGACTTCCTGACACAGGACTTGATGCTATACCTACACGTTCAGGACAGAGAGAACCAGAAATAAAATCTGCATAAACAGGAAGAGTGAAATTGGCAGGTTTAGGTGAATTGAACAGTCACATTTGGGTCTCGTATGTGCACCTCACGAATACGCACACGTGCATGGTACGAAATGCCGTAGTTTTGGCTGCGAAGCTTTTTGTCTAGTCTTAGAGAGAGTGTGGACATTGGAAGCTCCAATATGTAGTTACGAGCTCAGTCTTGGGCGACTGTACAGATTTGGCGTGAATGTTGGGCAATGGAACCGTGACTATGGGGAAGTTGTACTGTTCTTGAAAATAATCTCCCCAAAATTTCAGGCATCTCTCCTGGGAGGTTATCATCGAAACATCCTTTTGATGGTTGTCTCATTGCCCATCGTCTTTTTCGCCATCCTCTCTAATGAATTTAAGTAATTGCCAAGCACTGTTCAATGATGATACCTTTTTCATCTATTTTGCCTTTATCAGACACAAACGCTTGCAGTTATTACGATTACCTTTAGTCAAGCTTCGTTTATGGTAATTTGGTTGGTTGTCGCTAGCAGAGGAAGCCAGGACGCTCGTTTCGTCCTATTTCGGACTCATCAGCCGGATGTACCTGCACCCCAGTGAGTATTATTGTTCCCACTGGGACTCGAACCCCGTACCCATCGCTTCAAAAGCTAAGCCGTTAGCCACTATGCCCCGGAGGTCGAATAATTCAATACAATAAAACAACGGAGAATTACAAGTGTATCGATAAGTAGTAATAATCTTCGTTTATGTTGCCTTTCTCCTCATTATAATCAAAGCTAGCTAGAATGGACCTCACATTAATCCACTAGGATGAAGTTGTGTAAATCCAGTGGTTTTTGATAAATTTCTCGTGTTAGTTGCTAACTTTCTTTTAAGCTGTTTCCGCAACGGATTAAAGCAGTTTCATCAGGAGAAGTGCTGTTAATTTGTTGTTTGCTTTGAATAACACTCGCCAAACCATATTAGATCGTCGATTCAATATTTCGCACAGTGAAACAGTATTATTTACTGGATGATATTTTGAGCAGTATTTATTATTCATGTTCATACCAAGGGTAGCTGCACAACTTTCACATCAATTTTATACAGTTCTGTTCCTCCTCCATTTGTCGTATAAGGGTAGTAAGATTTTCTGTATATCCGGAACAAGTTGGTGACTCATTCCTATTATACGTGTTTGATGATTCGATAAACAAAGCTTCAGCTACCAATACCGTCTCCCACCCCACTAAGTTAGTTTAAAGGAATGTCACTATCCCATCCTATTGTGTGGTTGTGTGTGATTGTATGCATTACAATAACTGAAATCTTTTTCAAGATCCCTTATCTTACCAGGATCTGTCATTATTTGGTTCGGTTAAGTTTTGTGCTGTTATTGTGATTGACTCTGTTCGACTACTTTGACTTGGAAAAACCATTTCAGTTTGAAAATCTGACCGGGAGTGTTACCTTTGTCGTGTTTCCATAATTTCCAATATGTACTCGAACAGTTGTATTCCTTCACCTAATAAGAAGAGTGCATAGCTTCCAACAATCTTAGATATGCTTTTGTTATGCTGATATTTAGTAAATTATGGTAATCCGCAGTATCCAGGCTATGAATTGAAGTATTTACTTAGTTTTAGTGGAAAGAATTACTGAATATTTGAAAATACAAGTCTAAAAGTGGGATTTTGTCAGGTCGAAGAAGTCAATTTTCTACCTAGATGTACGAAAATCTTCATATTTGATCTTCTTGTATCGCTAAAAGTGGACTGTTAAAGTACTTTCAGGTGTCCATCCTTAGAAATAAACACCTACCATGAAATGAAAGACATTTATGATTTTGACGTTGAATACAGTAACCCCAGGATACTCTGTTAACTGACCAGTTTGCTATTTCACTCCGACACTGTTTTTCATTTCTTACCCATCTTCTCACATATATTCTCAAGACAAAATGTTCATATTACCACGAGTCTTTGGTAAGATATCTAATATACTAATGTGTGTTATTATTTAAAAACGTTAGCTAGCTCATTAATTTGTACTGGCCTACCTTTGTCTATAGGGCACAGTGTCAGGGAATATTCACTGTAGTTCTATAATGGTTGACTTAGAATGTCTTAGTGAATTCAAACTCCCATTTCAGCACTCAGATTATTACTAGTCTTTGATTGGAAGGGATGAATGGCACCAATCACTCAAGTTTTTAGATATTCTTTTCAAACCGTTTATTTGTACCTGAAATATTTTTTTTTAACCTAACCGCATCTCAAATGTCGGGAAGTGGTGAGTTCTAAATTTATCTACAACCGTAAGATTTCTAGCCATTCAGTTATTGATATCGATTCCTAGTGGTAGTTTTTTTCCACACTTACACAACTCAAGAAAACTGTTTACGGTTGTAGATGCTATAGATGTTGTAGATACTGTAGTTATTGGCTAGTTTTCGATTTTCCCTGTTACTCTGGTTCACTTAATAACATATTAGTAGCGAACTAATTTTCACGTCCTAAACAGTATGCAATACAAGAAAAATAATTGTTTTTTTGTAGCCTTTCGTTATAATTGTTGATCATTTGCTTTCTGTGAGACGAATTGATTTTAGGAATTCTTTCTAAAATTTTCTTCAGTCACATGACCTTTATTTGTTTAATAACCAATCATATAACAAAAATAGAGTGGTATCAGATCAATTTATGCTGCTTCATGATTGGCTTATCGTATTTGGCCAATCATGTGACGAATTGGCCGAAGGTTATTATAAGCGTATTGCGGAGTACTCAGAAAATCGTGTGGAAATTAAACGCTAAGTAAATGCTTTTTCAGAATAATGCTCAAAATATGTCTCATCGAGCATAAGGGGGTTGAATATGTGGTGTGAAACATTTGCATTTTAATTTGAGAGGTGAACTTCAACATAGATGGAAGTGTTATCTGGAGTTAAGCTTGGAGATAATCCAAGCGTAAAAGCGCATTCCAACAAGCGAAATGATCAATATGGGAAATTATATTCTGGTAACTCTTCTCGAAAAATACAGAGCACTGGCAACAGTAGTATACATGGACGCAGAGGACCTGGACTTTATCGACCTACAGTGAATGAAACATCAGTACCGCAGTCTAACTTACCACTAAATCTTCTCCGCAATCGAACGCCTCATTTCAAGCCTTCTCTAACTCCTGGACTTGGTACCAGAAGAGTGGTTTATGGAAATTCAAGTAAAGTTTAATGCATATTGCTACTCGTTTATTTTATCTTTATAAGGATTCCTTCTTTGGTATGGTACTCGCTGTACATATTATCATAAGTGTGAGCTAATACACAATAGCTGTTTTTACTGTTGTTGATAGTCATATAAATTTTTCAAATCCTTGGTAAAAAAACAGTGTTTTTTGCTGGAATTATATTCAGACAAATTTTAGTCTTCATATCCTAGAAAGAAACGGATGCTTACTCTTTAAATTGCTGTTTCTATGATGTGCTGAGTGTGAATATACGGTCTGTTTACTGTGAGCATTTTTGGGTGATGTGAAGTCGTCACTTACGTCGAAGTTAGAGATGATGGTACTCAAATCTATTGCTTATTCTGTATGAGATTTGTTTTGCAATGGGTAACAGATTGTTTCAGCGAAGATAAATAAAATTGACACAAAGCCAAGAACTTGCTAAGAAATCTTGAAAAACACAGCGTAGCTTAACTACCTTGTTTTTTTAGGACTAGAAGAGAGATTTTGAAGGCAGTTGTAACAACTGATAAGATGACCAACCAGATTTCTAATGAAAAGGTAGTTTTTCACCAAATAAAGAAATCTGATTGATCGTTTTATTGTCCTTAGAGCGACTTTAGAGCTCGTCGGGTTAGAACAGACTTACTTTTGACCAGTGTCAGGGATTAAAGTCATTTTTTGGCTTGTTAAAGGTTGAGGGGTTGCAACTGGAAAATTTGAATGGCATACACAGCCTATATGATATTGAATTTTGCCTAAAGGTTATAATTGCTTGTCTGAAGTCATTTGGCTTTAAGTCACCTTTGTTCAACTTTCCCAACTTTTGTTTTGTTAAGTGCTCATCTGACTATTGAATCTGTTATTTTTCCTCAATAAGTAATTATTTCATTCATCCCAGTCATTTAACCCAAGGATTTGTTAAATGTAAAGAAAAATCTCCTAAAGTCAGAGACTTTGTTGTCGTCCAGGTTTGATTTTGATTTTTTCATTTATTCTTCAGGACAGGATGCGAACCTTAGATTTAGTATGGAGCCTCGTCTAAGTGATGAAGCATTCGATGAATGGGTTAATGCTATACGTCGTATGGCTCGTTTAGGCGACGGATTACCATCAGCTATTCGTTCACGTGTGTGGTCAACTCTTGCAGATCGGCAATTGGCTAAGCAACATGTGGATTGGGATCATGTGATTAAGATGGCCTTCAATGAACCATCTAATAAAGATGATGATAGATTAGGTGAACAAATTGTGAAGGATTTACACCGTACTGGATGTGAACAATTTGGATCAGATTCAGATCAAGCATCATTAAAACGTGTGCTTCTCGCTTACGCTCGATGGAATAGACGTGTGGGTTATTGTCAAGGTTTCAATGTGATAGCTGCTGCTGTGTTAGATGTCACTGCTCGCGATGAAAAGAAAGCTTTTAAAGTTAGTACCATATAAGTCTTTTAATGGTATTTAAAATTATGCTTTTGGATACCAATGGTTTACTTACAAATTCTCAGTGAAAATGCTTTGTTAAGTATAATGCACATTGTAGTTTGAAACCTGAAAAATGCAAGTATCAATATATTTTAAAGTAGTTCTTATGGTTTTAGGTAATACTTTAAGAGTAGTTTCCTTTTGTTTCACCACTACATGAGTCCATCATCATTTTTGCAGGCAAGTTTTAGCAGGAATTAATGACTGAGAATGAGTCTAGGTTCTACGTGTAATGCTTATTCTCTCAATAATATTTACAACCTTTAAAAGGATTTACGAAAAATCTCGTCAAAATTTGAGAGTTTATCACGAAATCTCAGACAGTAATAATAAACTAAATAAAAACGAATCCTGCATATTTATTATATTGGCCTTAAGACTTAAAATTTTTCTGGTATTGGGACTCTAAATTTTATAATGCCAGAATACTACTATTAATACTATTGGTAATGGTAATAATAGTAATAATAATAATAAATGCTGGTATATATAATAAATATTTATCGACTGAGTTTATAACACACAGTGACGTGTTTGTTCTTGTTCATTGTTTTTCGTTTTTGGTAAGTCACGAATTGAATTAGACCTAAGCATACTGTATTTTTAACGATTTAACTGTCTTCATGCGAACCATCCATTAAACGTGAATTAGTTACCTGACTTCATCTCAAAGCCAAGAGCGCCTTGACATAGTCACTTAAGAGAAGGAATAAGTGATTGTGCTAATATTGTCGTTAGTGCGTATAGAAGCACTTACCTGTGTTATGATGCGGAGTTGTGAGAACGAACGAAAATACTTAACGATTGTTAGTCGAGGGTTGAAGCAATTCAACTGAAGTGATTCGCAAGAGAAATCAAAAGACTGGAAATCAGATGAGTTTATAGTATCTCGGACTGAAAACGGACCCTATTTATAGAGTATACAGTGACCTTGGAAGGCAAGGAATAGTTAGTACATTTGAAGGAGCAGAAACTAATCAGAACTCTAGCGTGTCATACAAAATATGACTCATATGTGGGAACAGTGCGAAGTAAGACATTTCAAATGTACCCAGACTGTAAGTATGGAATATAATGGATACAGGCATCCGTAACAACCTGCTTTTTACTGCAAGAGAAATTCAATTCTCCAATGAGTCTTGCTAATCACTTATCATTTTATCGTTATTTAAAGCGTTCCCATTTACCAAGAACTGCTCTACAGTTATCATGATAAAATCACATTGATCAAATGGAGGTCGATGTTTCATATTTGGTTATTGTCCACTTTTTCTTCTTCAAATTTCACCATATCTTATCGAATAAATAAGACGTATTTTTGAGTTTTCAAGATACGTATATCAGACATTGCATCTATACACCGTACATGTTTATTCATATTCCATTTCCACTCATTTGGCGAAAAATTATGGGGCATGAGGTTATATTTACAATTACGAGAAATCTTGGTCTGGAGTTTTGTGAATATTAATTGATTTTAAGGTTGTATTCATCACGAACTGAAATCAGTTGAAGAACTATTGAAAATGTCGGAGAGCTGGATATTTATCTTTTACTAGTATGGGACTCCTGAGCAGTGCACATATACGACTCCAGCAGAGATCAAACTTAGGACCGTCAGGTTTTGGGGCGAGTACATTACCATTCAGCCACTGGGTTGAAATCGGATGGTCTAAATTTTACCACTTCTTTCAATTCGTAGTATAGTATGACCACCCATCCATTGTCATCGCTAAGTATTTGTTCAACTAGATCAGGTTTGAAGACAACTACTAACCGATGGCATTTAATGAAGGTCCCGGTATATTTCGAATTATCAAAAGTAGGAAAATGTGGAGTTTTGAATTCTGGCTGAGGTGCTGAATAGTAATGTGCTCACCATGAGACCTCCCAGTCCTTGGTTTGATCCTTGCTAGGGTTGTGGATGCCTACTACTGAGGAGTCTTGTACTGGAATAAAACAGCTGTCCAGTGCTCCTAGCTTTTCAGTTGTTCTTCAACTGATATGAAAAATTGATTAGACAATCAGTGACGTTTATTTACTTGATAATAGTATACGTGGACAAAATTCTGATCTTCTGAAGGACTTTCAGTTCCATAGACTTAAACCTTAATGTGCACTTGATTGTTTTGAATGGGATATAAGTCTATGTGAAAGATAATTTAGTAAACTGAGTTGCACAATAAAGTGTGTATAACTTCATGAATCTATCCACTTGTTCACAGGAAACCACTTCGTACTATGCTAAACATTATAGTTGAACAACACTGAGTTGATGATTTCTCTTTGATACTAAGCTTTAAATGAAACACTATATCATCACCGAGCAGATACACAAATTTTAGTAAGTAGTGTTTCTATCGCCACAGCTATAGTATTGATCATCTGTTTTTGCATTATATTTACTCACATTTCAGAATTACCTGCATGTAATAGTTGGAAAAAATACTGTCCCAACACTTTTCAAATCATCATCATCAAGATATACATAGGACCAGGCGTTACTGCGCAAAAGTCCAAACTGCCACATCTCATATAACCATACCAAGTAACAAGGTGTATAAAATGGAAGATGGAGCAGGAAAGAAAAATCGGTCAGAGGAAATAGAAGTATAAAGTAGTAAAAGAGAGGAAGGAGGAATGAGAAAATGATAAAATTACATGTAGCAGTTTAGATGAGAATAATGTGTGTATGCATCTGCGCTACTGACATTGGTTCTGAGCCATATCTTCTACAGTCTCCAGCCGCTTGTTGGTCTTGTCGTACGGACCCCAATCGGTTAGTCTGCATTGCCCTACATGGCTCAAATGAACAGTCAAGGACTTCATGCGTTGATGCCATATTTTAGTCTGGTTATCTCAGTCGATGAAGGTTCACAGCCATATCAGCTGATCTACCTCTCCTCCCTAAAACTCTGCACACGATTTTGCGTTACTCACGTGGTGGCACCACGGAACACGGCCTGTGCTACGAAGGCAACAGTGGTTAAACACCTGAAGCCTTCTCATGTCTTCTACCTTTACTGGCGATGTTTTACAGCCATACAGTACGACAAAGCGGACTTCAGTAAAGTAAACTCGAACCTTAATAGACAATCGGATATCGCGGCAGTGCCATAGATGGCATAAGTTGGCAAAACTCAACCGAGCCCTTGTATCCGTGCAGAGATTTTGTCGGCCACTGAGCCAAAGCTGATCCGACTTCCCAGGTAAGTAAAGTGATTAACTCACTCAATCACTTCACACTATTGTTACTCGAGGCACCGTTGAAGACCAGTCCTGTAGCGAAAATTTCCATTTGTGTGGCGAAAAACTCATCCCAAACATTCTCAAAGTGCTCAGAAGACTCTGCATCTTGTCAGCGTTTTCACTTAACAGGACTGTATCATCTGTGTATTCTAGTTTTACCAAAAATTCTCCTGTGATTAGGTCAATCCCTGTTTAGTCAGATGACGAAACGGAGACCTCCACAAGAGCGTTTTCGCTAAAACTGAATAAGAATGGAGAGAGTGGGTATCTTTGATGGACACCACTTGACGTACACAGCTCACTCGACATCTCACCATAGGCTGCAACAGACCCACAGGTGTTCGAGTAAATAGCCTCCAATAAAGGTGATGTACTTACTGGGTACCCTTTTCAATAAGAGATACTGCCATAAGACTTCTCTACCAACTGAGTTGAATGTCGTCTTTTAGTCGAGAAATACAGCTATTGTCTGGCCTCGTTAAGCGTATCTGTGTTCCATAACTCGATGGAGTGTGAATATTCGGTCGATACTCCCACGTCTGAGTCTGAAATCTGCCTGATTTTCTCGTGTTTGCTGTTCCTGACCTCCACTCAGGCGTCTAATGGATATAGAACCTAGAAGCTCAGACACTATGCTCATCAGGCTTCTGAGCTTTCTTGGAGACTGGGATAATCAGCGGTTGAGACCATACACCCGTACACTAGTTTATACTTTGGTTAACTTAACTAAAACCCCTACCACCATCCTTATATACCTCAGGAACTAGTCTACCTGGACCTGCTGGCCTTCCTCTTTCCAAGTTAACAACCTCTTTCTTGACTTCTGCAAGTGTTAGGGGGCCTATCTCAATATTCTTTTCACGATCTGACTGGATTGCGGGCAACGCAACAGTAGCTGGAGGCCAATTTAACTGTTCCTCGAAGTGTTTCACCTATTGTCCCAGTCGTCCTCCGTGGGATTGAATCACATATCCATGCCTCTAAACACTTTTCAAACACATTAGTAGTAATAATTTATCGATAATAAACGCATTACTGTGCGGACGACAAAGAAGTATGACAACAGTCAATTTGTTGTTACAAAGTTGGTGAATAAAATATGTTATTATGCATCTTTGTTCACGTAGTATACAGGCAGAATAAGCCGTCGTTCTTTATGCATTTGTTTACTGAAAAGCTAAAAGCCTGCTTACAAGTGTGCATAAATGGATAATACAATTTGAGGGCATAACTAAATGATGATAGATAGACAGAGAGACAGAAAAAATCAACTTAAAGACACGCACACAAGTGCATCGGTTCAAGTTGCCACACTTCACAATAGTATACAGATAACAAGTTGATAGAAAAAGAAAGATGTCAAAGTAGACATAATTATGTGAGAGAATAAACAATCGGAAGATGAAGGTTAGTGTGAATATTCAAACTTTTGAAGACATAAAGGAGCTAATACATCTGCGCCATTGCCACCGATTTTCAGCTGTCACCAAGAGTCCTCAACCACTGATTCCTTTCGTCTCTAAGACCCCAGCTAAGTAGTCTATATCTCAACACATGACTCAGACCAACAGTCAGGGACTTTGGTTTTGTATGGTTTGCAATTAAGTGTGAAGAGTTGAACGTTTTAAGCTATATACATGCTGTACAAATTCTTTAACTTATTTTTTACTTGTGTGTCCTTTATTTTTATATTACAGATCATGGTTTATCTCATTGATTATGTTCTACCAGAATCATATTTTGCACAAAATCTACAAGCTTTATCCGTGGATATCGCTGTCTTTCGTCAACTCTTGCAAACTAGGTTACCTGGACTCGCTGGTCATTTGGATCGTCTACAGTATAAAGCAGGTTAGTCTTTGTTTACTTTCATTACTGTAAAAAAACGTCTGCACATGCATATATACATAACTAGTAAACTTACTACATACCTTTTATAATGTGTCATTGGTTTGATTTTATATAGTAGCAATACCATTTTAACATTAGTACTGTTGGATATGCTTCATACATACAGTGGAATGTGTACATCTTTACTCTATCAACATATATAAATGCAAATGAACTTAGTTAGATTCGACAGCACTTGTCTTTCTGATCTCCCATTTCAATGCTGTTCCATTATTACACTGAATAAGATACTGTATGATATTCGAGGGAGTATTGCCCGGTGGAATGTTGAGTTCTCGTATATTCTTAAAACTTTATCTCGTATCCTGATGGACTGCTTCTTTCTTTTGCTTTATAACAGTTATAACACTTTTGAAATTACAGTGGTTATTTTGTTTACCTTAGAAATCTTCGGGGATGTTAGGTGACTTTCTGATGCTCATAGTTGTATCCATGCTACATTCTAATGCAGTAGTAACAGTTTTTTAATAAATTGGTTATAAAGGCTACATATTCTGGGCACTTGCTTTTCTTGAACAGTATGCACTAAGCCTTGAGAATGGTTTTATCAAAATGTGTTATCTAGCTTATCAAATGAAGATGTAATCGAAACCGAAATAAGCCTTAGCTATAGGATTTCACTGAAGAGAATTCATCTTTGATAACAAAAGACCTTGCAATTCTGTGGTAAAATCAAGTGTCATGCACTTCTCACTAATCCATACTTTGTATCATATGGGCATAAGCTTAGGTAATCAGAGATGACTAATGTGTAGGCTTGTAGGATTACGCAAAATATCTTGTCTGTAGTGTCGTATATAACTTTGACTAGGATTAGATTATTCGCATGAATTAGTTATTGGAGAGCGAATGATGTAGCTGTTGATAAAAGGTATGAAGAGATGTGTTTTCATCAACATTTTCAGGTAAGGTGAACTCAGGCTGCTGAGATAAAATAGATGACTATTCCAAATCAAAATTATTAATGTATTCGTCTATTTTAAGGGAGTACTATCGGTTTGTGGTTCAAAGATATATATATATATATATATATATATATATATATATATATATATATATATATATATATGTCATAAGTAAAATTGTGATGGAATTTATCTCTTACCTTTTGTATCTTTTTGTCTACCTATACTAGCTCTAGAATCAGATTCTCAATTGGGTAAGAAGCGGTTGTCATTGGATAAACAAGATATTCTATCAGGGAAAAATCAAGGCGCCTATGAACCTCCACTAATGAACGTCTACATTATTCAATGGTTTCTGACATTATTCGCCACTTGTTTGGCTTCTGATGCAGTTCTACGTGTATGGGACAGCATACTACTCGAAGGTTCTGAGGTGATATTAAGAACTGCAATTGTTATCATGGAATTTTTGAAAAGGTATGTGTCTCTTTTAGACGGTTTATCTTTATTTTTTTATGGAGCAACAAAAAAATTTACTCATTAATACGCATAAATAGCCAATACAACTGAAGGTATTCATCTGTGTATCGAATATATCTGAATATATGCTAGCAACACTGCTGAGTGTGCAGATTTAGATTCGCGCTTTATGACGGAAACATATGCGTACCAGTATGTTTTCTCAAGAAAAAATAACTATCTTTGTGGTATTAATACTAATGAGTGATTTGATAAAATTGTAATTTGATAGGTTGCTTCGCTATATTTTAGCTACATTTTCAAGTGCAAATTATTTCAAGTGACTTTTTCAAGTTATAGAAATATTGGGTATATCTTTTTCATGATCAATTTGAATATTCTAAATCTGGTACTTTATACTCAACCAAAAGATACAACTGTACATTGTAGAAAGTGGTAAATTGTTGTAATTCAACTTATGAGCTTACTTTAATAGTGTATAGACCAAATTCGACAAAAGAAGAAAAGTATTATACAAAATTAGTCTTTCATCTTTGAGAATGAATTCATGCACCAAATATGAAGTGTACTGACGTGATAGTATACTGTCGATATCCAAGATGTTGCCATGTAAGCTTTATGTGGTGTGGCTGACGTTAGTGGTCAGTACTTCATTCAAACAGTGTGTGAAATGAGTACTTTTGAGTATAATTTTAATTATTGTGATATTTCTAGTCTAGATTACCACATTAATCTTACATGGTAACATGCTGGATACTGGCCGTGGAATTCAGCATAAATGCAAGCCTAAAATGTAACACGGCTAACATGTAGGTTTCCCTATTGATTTGTATTGATTCCCGAGAAGGTGGAATTTTGGATAAATTTTAATTCAGTCATGTTCCGAAACAGGGGTTAACAATTAAATTAGGTCACTTCTAGTTAAAAGTGCAGATATAAGGTAAGCACTAGCTTCTATTGAATACTAGTTATCCCTTTGTTTAGATGGTCATATCAGGAGTTTATTTGTTTGTTTATGTACTCTGCTTTCTATACGCTGCGTGGCTTAAGTGAACAATAATGGTAGAGTGAAAAAGATAAGAGTTTAAATATTTATTTACAATAATAAAATGTCTCACTATTGTCTAAAAGTAGAGCACAAAAGTTCAAGTTATCGCATCTCACAACAGTTTGCAAATGGGAAGTTGACAAAGGTGTATGAAGGGAGAGAATGCAAATAAATGAAGGTTAATAAAAATTTAAAAGATTTTTGAAATAACAATTAGTGTTTACATCTGTACCATTGTGACTAAGTTTAAGTCATATTGTCGAGCATCTCCTGGCACTGATTGTTATCGTCTTGAAGAAGTTACCCTGACAGTCTACATCTCCCTACACACATCAGATTAACAGTCAAAAAGTTCATGGATTACTTCTATATCTTAGTCTTGCATAATGTTACATGATGGATCAATATTTAAGTTAATGGTGCGATGTACTCTCGATTTTAAGTGCAACTGAAATTATTTACCAAAAAACTAAGCTAATTTTGGTGTTTTTTTCCAGTTATGAGTGATATCTTGACTTCGATGTTGATTTCATGTGATCTATAGAGACCAACTTACGGTGCTTGACTTTTGAAACTTAACCCCACTAAACAGAAAATATATAATAGTGTAACTAGGATGAGCATTTTTATGCTAAAATTAATCTCCTTATGTGATTCTAGGTCCTAAGGAATGAAATATGTTCATAAATCAGTCAATGAGATTGCGGAAATGTATCAGTTGTGATGACTGTGATTGGTATTTCGCATGTTAACTGACCAATCGCATTTGAGGACTAGGCTTGACCCGAGTAAAAGAAGGTTCTATAAAACAGTACATATTCCAGGCTGAAAAGCAGCTATAAAGCTATAAGTGACTAACTGTCAGTTAATGTAAGTTGATCTGCGCGTTGCTTTAGGATATACCCGCCTATTCGTTTCCTAAGAAATGGAAAGGTTGTATTATGTGGATTTAACCTCAAATTTTGTATTTTCGGTATCTCTAAATCATTGTTTTCATTATTTATCACTCTAGATGCAGTACAATTTTTTATTCGACAGTAAACTTAATCTTGAGTATTTTATTATTCCTTTTTTTAATTTTCACAATGTTATATATTTCTCAATTACATTTTATTTTTCTATTTCACTAACAGTCGTTTGCTTAAGCTGAAATCAGCTGATCAATTTTATGCTACAATGAGTGATTTAATGTCAGCGTTTTCTGAAGGTAGAATTGTTAGCAGTCAAGAACTATTATTTGAAATATACGAGTTAGCACCATTTCCATATCCTGGATGAAAGAATTACGTGAAAAATTCATGTATAATGTTACACCTTTAGTTCTTACCAATATGAATATTAATTCATCCGATAGTATTAAAAATGCACAGAATAGCGATCAAAAGAAAACAGGGATATTCAACCTGCTGAAATATATTCCTACAAGTTTAAAGAAGTCAGAATCTGTACAACCTATCAGTAGTATTAAAAGTTTGGTAAAATCTAAAAATGAAAAGTAAGACTACCTTCTTGTTTATTTTTTCAATTTCTATATTAATGATTTCGGGTGCTACTTTTCGGTATTTTGTATGACACTTTTTTCTGATACAACTTTTTTTTTTATCTTGGTTATATTATCCAGCTAGGTATGTGTACTTCATGCATCTCAAAGGTTACACGACAAAATACATAAATATCCTTAGCATCGGGCTGGGAAAGAGATTTCGTACTATAGCTGTTAGATAGGATATATTATTTTATTTTTATTATTATTAGTCCCCTGGGTTCCTAGTGGAACATAGGGCTTCAGTAGCACGTCTCCAGTGAATTCTGTTCTGTGAAATCATTTGAACCTGGCTCCACGACAGCCCACAAGCTCTCATTTCTTTCTCACACGATCTCCTCCATGTCACCCTCGGACGTCCAACTCGTCGCTTCCCATGGGAATTCCACTCGAGTGCCTGGCCTGACGCGTGATGTCCCCAGTCGGCTTTCTCAGTGTATGTCCAATCCATCTCCACTTCCTTCCAGTGCATATTTGTTGAGCGATAGGTTCTTGGTTGGTTCGTTCCCAGAGCTCCTTGTTGCTTATTCTTTCTGGCAATCCATCTGATCTTCAGTAGCGAGCCAGCGTAGGTGGCATTTGTTGATGAATGTCTGTAATTTAATGGAAATCCCTTTCGTAACGCGCCAGATAGGATATAAGATGACCTATTTCCTTAGAATTTTAGAATGATAGACAGACATTGATGAACTTCCTCTAAGCTGTGTACAAGACAATGAATACTTTTTTCACTAATCTTTTTTATTGTCTTGGTTACAACGAAATATTTATTTTCTTTCTGAGATCAGTTCAACTAATCAAGTTTTTAAAAAAATAGTGAAACTAGATATGGAAAAAATAATTTCACTGATTAATTGGTATCATTTGTTGATAAGTAACCTTTCACAAATTTTATAAATTACTAATTATGCACAAAGATGCATGTAAAGTGGCACCAATTACTACAATCTTCTTTACTAGGAGAAAATTAACACTGAAGAATTGCTGCATCTTCATTACTTCTTTAATCAAGTTAGTATGCTGAAATAAGTTAACAACTAATTGGTTTCATTTTTTATTAGATGGTAGAGAATATATATCTGATAGTTTTATAGAATATAAATTTGGTTACTACTCCTTTACATCACAGTGCAGGCTAAATTATACATGATAACGATATTTGACACTTGATATCATACTAACTGGCTATTTTAACTCTGTACATGCTTGTAATCTAATCAAACACGAATGTTAAGATACTGATTTTTGAGTATACACTTAAACGTCATCTCAGGGCATAGTTTTTCATATGTTAGTCCACCGGCTCAACTAATAAATCGATAATACTATAAAGTATGAGTACACAAATTAATTGTTCTTTGTTTATATATATACTTACTAATTTATGGTGAAATTGTTCTACCAAAATCAGGTTGACATTCGTAAGTTTACCACTTCTCAGACATATTAGATTCATATACTTGGAAACGAAACACATGACTAGACATCTTGCATACCTGTGAAATACCTAAATATGGTAATATGGTAAAGTATGTCAAGTGTATTTAACTTACACGTAATAAGGGGTAGTCTCAGCTATTACTTTATGCAGTAGTGAATGTGTTACTGGTAAGGGTTGATTTGATTGATAGAATTCGAATCTCAATACTTACTCTTCAACTGATTTACTACAAAGAAGGTCATTCCAACTAACATGCACGCGGTAACTAAAGCCAGATTTTGTTGATAATTAGGCCGTATACACATTTCCTTATTGGACTGACGATTTATGCTGTGTGTATGCACTTTTATACCTGTATTCAATAACCCAATATTTTGCTTAACGAGTTCAAAGCTAAAAATCAACATTGATAAAAGTTGGCAGCTGTAGATAAAAGAGAAATATGAGTCATCATGAAACATATAAATGAGATGAAAAACGCTTCAGCGTAACAAGACTATAGCAACTTGATTCTATTCTGCAGACTGCATGAAAGCAGAAACGCTTTGTTGAAATTCTGATCAATCGACTTCATAACTTGCATAACCTACCTTACTTGACTAGCCTACATTACAATAATTCCGAGTACCATGTATGTACCATCTAACAAGTTTCTACACGACCATAAGATAAACAATGAGAAGTCTCCCAATAAAATGGATTAAAATTTGTGGAAATATTATTTTATTTCTATGCTTTATTATCAGTGTTTATCAACAATTATTTAAAAGTATACTTTGTTGTTGTTGAACTTGTTAAAATCCATGTATTTCAGGCATAATCCAGAGTTTGTAAATTGATGTGAATTCCATACTTAATTGTTTGTATTGTCATACTTATTGTGTTTAGAAAGAAATAACAAGGTGATAAAATATTAGTCTTTTTTTAAAATGAAAATTATAACACAACATATATTGGTGATATGCAAAACATTTTCTGTCGTCTTTCTTCTATTCATGATTTTTTCTCTAATTATTGTTCTGTTTTTCTACTCTCAAAACAACTTTATTGTCTCAACCTAATTTTACAGAAAACAATTTATTGTTGGTGTTATTAACTAGTATTTTTGTTTGTGATTAGCGTGGTGTTATGCTGTGCTAATTTTCGTCATTATCATCACCATGAACATCATTCCAGCCACCATTAGCATTATTGTGAAGTTTGATGTGATCTTCTTATAAGTTTTCTCCTTTTCAAATTTACGTTAATATAATAAATGTACATTTCAACTTCTAAATAATCATAACATTTGAGGTAATCAACTTCAGTTCATATCCATTCATGCTACTGAACATTTTTGATTCAAAGAAGAGTTCAACTTGGTGAGATGTTAATAGAAGTTCGGGCACTGTATTATTGTTATTATTATTTTTCCTTTGGGTGCCTAGTGGAACATAAGGCTTCAGTAGCACGCCTCCGTTGCACTCTGTTCCCTGCAATCTTTTAAACCTCGCTCTACAACTGACCAGTAGCTTTCATTTCTTCCTCACATGATCTCCTCTATGTCACCCTCACCTCGGACGCCCAAGTCGTCGTTTCCCCTTTGGATTCCACTCTAGGGCCTAGTTAACTGGTTCACTAGTTACTAACCCGTCCTAAGCACGGATAAATAGAGAAGGTTGCTCATGGGGCTAGCAACCCTACCCCTAAAACCAATTTAATCGCTGAACAAACTTCAAAGCACAAAGAAATTATAAAAAATAAAAACAAACTTATTCCTCACTGGAATCGGAGATACGAAATGACGCCGTTTGGTGAAAGCCTTCCGGCACTGTATTATTATTTGTCTCTTGGGTTCCTAGTGGAACACACGGCTTCAGTAGCACGTCTCCATTCCACTCTGTTCTATGCAATCTTTTGAATCTGACTCCACGACTGCCCACAAACTCTCATTTCCTCCTCACACGATCTCCCCCATGTCACCCTCGAACGTCCAACTCGCCGTTTCCCATCTGGGTTCCACTTGAGTGCCTGACGCGTGATGTCCCCGACTGGTCTTCTCAGTGTATGCCAAATCCAATCCATCTGCAACTTCTTCCACATATTTGTTGGAAGATGGGTTCTTGGTTAGTTCGTTGCCTGCCAGACCAGAGTTCCTTGTTGCTTATTCTTATTATTCTGGCTATCTGATCTTCAGCAACGAGTGAGCGTAGGTGGCAGTTGTAGATGAATGTCTGTAGTTTGTTGGAAATGCCTATCATAACGCGCCAAGTCTCTCAATCATCACACAGAATCATTGACTTGACGTTGGTGTTGAAAATCCGGATCTTGTTCATCCTTTATGCTGAGTGCAGAATATCTCCACACTGGTTTCAGGTTAATGAACACCTATCTCGCTTTTCCGATCCTGGCTTTGATGTCCTCATCTGTGCCGCCGCCTGTAGTTGAAACAGTGCTGCCTAGCTAGGTGAAAGAAACAACTTCCTTTAAGTTTCTCCCGTTGATGGTGATTGGAGCTTGTTGTTGTTGCTGTCGGTGGTGGTGTTGGTTGGGTATCATCATCACCTCTGTCTTCTCTATATTCACCTAAAGTTCCGTCTTCGTACCTAGCTTCTTCTGTAACTTGTTAGTTTTCGCCACATCAGACGTAAATCATCATCACTGATGAAATCCAAATCTTCTGGGGTCTTTTCCGCTGTCCAGCGTATCCCCCTCTTCTCGCTCCTCACTGTTGGCTGCATGACCCAGTCCACCACAATCAGCCTGTTCCGGGATGTGGTGGTTATTCTTGGGGTGGACAGGGGTTTTCCTTCTTTTTGAGTTGAACCTTGCTGTCATGATCCTGGAGGAGACTGGTTCCCACTGTATGAGAGCCTTCTATGCTGTTGGGGACATCATGATAGACACTCCCTCAGTGTGCTCATGGTTGTCGTCTGGGTAACAATATCGGAGCAGATTATTGACTATGCAGTTGACAGTTTGGAGAGTCCACTTCCATTCCATCTGCTTTCGCAGATTCTAAGCACTTCCATGCCATATCTTCTCATCTCTTTTGCAATCTTGGCAGCCTTTCCAGCTAGGTTCATACATGGTGTGTACATTCCATGTCCCCATATTTACTTTTCCTTTCATCAAGAGAAGAAAAGACACATTGGCCGATTGGCTTCCCGAAGTCTTTCACCAACTGGCGTCATTTCGTCTCCCCGATTCCAGAGAGAAATAAGTTTGTTTTTATTTTTTATAATTTCTTTGTGCTTTGAAGTTTCTTTATGGGTTGGATTGGTTTTGTGGGGTAGGGTTGCTAGCCCCATGAGCAACCTTCCCTCTTTATGCGGGCTTACGACGGGCTAGTAACTAGTTAACCAGACGAGTTCTGGAGCACTGTAGTAGAATGTAATTCCATATTATATTTTTCGATTTGATGTAGAACACAGCGATGTAGTATCATTTACCTGACGACATTTCGAGCATAAATTAGTACTCATAATCATTTCAATGTAAATCACAGCCTTCTTTGTTTTTATTGATAGTAAAATTTTCGATATCTCTGGTATAGGTATTTTGCTTGATTCCTATCACATGTGTTGGATGTTGGCTGATTCAACGAGCAAAAACAGGTTCAGTAATCAATATCGCTCTCCACCTAATTATATCGGACTTACATTGGATTTATCCGACCCTATTGTGTGCTTACGTTTTAATGCAAGCATCAAAACAGCCGAGTGTTTTTATGGATTATTGATCCTATTAGGGTCTATCATTCTATGTTTCGCTAACCTAACTGACCTCAACCAGCTAGTTTGAGCCATGTACTTGACCTCACAGTTATTTGATGGAGTTCGGTAGGTTAGACTGTTTTGCTTAATTGGATCTGTCGGATCCTTGGGTTGAAGAATCTTATCTCTGGGTTAGTTTGTAGGTTTGAATGCCACCCTAATTTCAACCTTGTCGAGAATCCCACGTAAAGTTTCTTATGTTCATTCCTTATATGGTAAAACAATGGAGCAAAACTATGCTTTCCCAATTATCTATAAACGTATCTGCTATGATAAGTACTTACGTTCAATATAATTAGATGAAGAGAGATTTACTACTGAATCTTAGCTCATCAAATCATCACCCAACAAGAGTAACAGGAATGATGCAACATCTATAGCGGAGATAGAAAATTTTACCGTCAATAAAAACAGAATGTGAGGTGATTAACAGGACTACATAAATCAGATATTGAAGGTTGTGTGATTACATTGATATGATTATGAACAGTAGTTTATACTCGAAACATTATCAGGTAATAATAATGTGTAAATGTGTGGCGTATCAAACCAACAAATCTAATATGGAATTGGTGAGATACTGTCAAGCTATTTCATTACATTTAGATCCCTTCATCTTAATACTTAGGTACACCTATCCTCATTTATTTCGAAAGTTAAACAAATACTATCTGTTTTCAACCTATGTTTGTAGTTTTTAATACGGAAATGTGAAAAAGTTGGTACTTTTGCTTTTTTTTTTTGAAGCGAAGAGATAACATAACGTGATGCTTTATTGCCCGCACATACAGTTTTACTCACGTTGATACTCCTTAAATGTGGAGTGAGGAAAGTTACGATTTTTAGTTTTTATCATTTTGCAGATATCTGAAAGAAAGTATTGAATCATTCACTGTTGTCAAAAGTGAAAACGGTACGTTTCCTTTACTATTTTCTGTGGTTATAATTTTTTTATTCATCACCATTTAATGACACTGTGTAACCTTATTAACAAGTAGTTACATAGTGAGAGTAGTGTCGTCACAATGCATCACAGGTTGGAGAATATTAGACCATCGTCATCCTAAGCAACTAATTTTCACCGTATTGTAAGATGAAAGTGTTTGATGCAGTACTACCTAATCATAGTCCCAACAAGTTGGTCTCATTATGAAGGAAATCCAAATATATACTGCTATTGAGATCATCAGTTTCCAAGGAATGACAGTTATAATCACCCCAACTTTGGTAGTAAAATATATGAGAGCTTAGAATTTTTATATGCTGAGAAAAAAGAGTGTGTAAAAAGAATCATACCATTACCTAGACGACTGTAACTACTGTCAGATATCACATACTATCAATATCTATATATGTAGGATGTATGCATCATAATATTTTTTACACATCGGGTACTCGAACAAGAATTCCTATGGGTAATATTATACCTGTTTTAGATGCCTATTGATGCATTACTGTCATATATTTCCGTATGCTTGTTAAGCTCGGTAACATGACAGGCTGTTGTATTGTATATCTTGCATACTGCGCAGTTCCTTCAGCGAAATACATGTGGCAACAACATGCAATTTCCGTAAACATTTCAAATCTCACCGACATTGTAAAATTAATAAAGTTGTAGCTCACCATCAACGGGAGAAACTTAAAGGAAGTTGTTTCTTTCACCTAGCTAGGCAGCACTGTTTCAACTACAGGCGGCGGCACAGATGAGGACATCAAAGCCAGGATCGGAAAAGCGAGATAGGTGTTCATTAACCTGAAACCAGTGTGGAGATATTCTGCACTCAGCATAAAGGATGAACAAGATCCGGATTTTCAACACCAACGTCAAGTCAATGATTCTGTGTGATGATTGAGAGACTTGGCGCGTTATGATAGGCATTTCCAACAAACTACAGACATTCATCTACAACTGCCACCTACGCTCACTCGTTGCTGAAGATCAGATAGCCAGAATAATAAGAATAAGCAACAAGGAACTCTGGTCTGGCAGGCAACGAACTAACCAAGAACCCATCTTCCAACAAATATGTGGAAGAAGTTGCAGATGGATTGGATTTGGCATACACTGAGAAGACCAGTCGGGGACATCACGCGTCAGGCACTCAAGTGGAACCCAGATGGGAAACGACGGGTTGGACGTTCGAGGGTGACATGGGGGAGATCGTGTGAGGAAGAAATGAGAGTTTGTGGGCAGTCGTGGAGTCAGATTCAAAAGATTGCATAGAACAGAGTGGAATGGAGACGTGCTACTGAAGCCGTGTGTTCCACTAGGAACCCAACGGACAAATAATAATAGCTCTATTAGGCTTCGCAACACTATCGATTTCTCTTCTTTCTATGATTCCTGTTTATCTTAGCAGGGATTACTCACCAAGATTTTGTCAATTTAAGAATTACCAATGTCCACTACAGTTTACAGATAGTTTCCAATCTAACCTATAAATTGGGTTCCTTTGGTATTATTTGTTAAGGTCTTTTCTGTATTTATACGTAGCATTGTACAAAGTCATTTCATGAACCTGTTTTTGAGCTGTAGTAAGTTTTCAGGATTGTCCACTACTAACTTATGTATAGTGTATGCAAACACTCAGGTGCCAGATTGAGTGTCACTGCAATCTGCCACACTGAACATTATCACATTGGGATGAAACTAAAAGAGAAGAAGACGAAATTAAAGTTTTACTATCAAGATTGATTAAGTAGCTTTGCGAATAAGAAGATACGGTGAAAAATATACAAGATAATGCAAAGTTTACAAAAATTTATCCAAGGTTTAGGGGAAAGTAAAGTTTAGACTTACCTACATGTCATTGGATTCATAGGGATTGATCTACTCTCATGTGGCTAACTTGGATTATGTACATGATGTTGCTATACCATGTGAAGATGCTGAAAAAATGCAGGGTATTCTGAACCCCGTGAGCAGAAATCTGAGTATCTTTGGCATGCGTTTTCCTGACACTTTTCAAATGTAAGATGATGCTCCACGCCTGATTTACAACTACTTCCAGCTTGAGGATAGGGAGTGAAGCGGCGGAATGCGTCGACCGTCTCACTTATTTGGGGAGTCGCATCAACGTAGACGGACTGGTTGTCGCCGAAATCTCAGTTGGGATACAGAGGGCCCGTTTGGCATCTGCGACTTGCATCATCTGTGGCATCGACTGGCGAGATATCCAACTATCTATCAAAGAACGAGTATGCTGCAGTCCGCTTTTTTCTGTTATACGGTTGTGAGATATGGTCGTTAAAAGTAGAAGGCGTGAGGCAGTTATAGGGTTTTGATTATATGGGTCTTCGTAGCATTGCTCACTTTTGGTGAAATCAGCATGTGAGCTATGTTGAGGTCAGGCGAAGGGTACTAGGCAAGACAAGCAAGTCAGTCGATGGAATTTTGAAACTTAGTCGACCGAGATGGCTCGAGCATTTTTTGCAGTGCATATCCAAGCCACCACTTGCCTCGGTGTGCAGTGCTAGGGGAAGTTGGATTACATTGGATCAGGGTTCATGACGGCTAGACCAAGACGTGGCATCTGTCGATATAGTCACTGGCCGTTGGTCCGAGTTGTGTGGGAAGTATAGACTACCAGAACGCACGTGACATGGTATTTATTTAGCTGTTTCACACGCCTACCTTTCAGCGACTGCATCTCATCTGTAGAGTTAAATAATTCAGATCATCATGCAGTACACTTTTGAATATTTAACCTGGCCAACAAATAGAATATATCGACAAATGATAAATTAGTATCTTATGTGCATATCTTAATTTTATCATTTAAAATTCATCGATGCTGATGTTACTAAGGTAAGTAAAATTATTGGCTCATTCAAATACTTTTCACCTCATTTATCAAAGATGTAAAACAGAACTATTAAAAAAAGTTTTGCATTGAAGACATCACATGCATATCACAAACATCGTAGTATCATCACTGAAAGAATTAAAAGAATTCTATGTTATTCTAGCGTCTTCATTTTGTAGAACTATTTCGTTTGCAGTTTGTAAGTTGCTTTCCGAACTGGCAAGGAACATGTAAGAGGGATGAATTTTTAGAGTTCAACCCGAGGAATACAGATTTCAAACGAGCAGTGTATACTCACTGGTAAACTCTGTAAAATACCCTTATTTACTGGAATATATACATTAGATTTGGTCACAAACCTTGACTTTTACGGCTACTACAGTGTATCAGATACTCAAATACAGTAACATAAGCAAAACGAAACAACATGCCCAATAAATTTCTACAAACAGATTGGAGAATGTAAAACGAAACAAATGACTGACACGTTTAATTACATTATAAAAATGGGAAACAAAACACACACTTCAGTAATTTCACTAAACTATTAGAAACGAAACTTCATCCAATGAAAGCAGAGGTATTAAGAAAGACACTTGAGATTGCACCTTTGTTAAATTCAAAGCAGAGTGGATGTGGCGAGTAGCTTTAGAGATAACTTACTATAACCTCTCAAATATAGAGTATTAAAATGCTAAGTCCTCAGTGATGTCGGATATCCACTAGATATCCCTTTCATTGACTGACACTTGAAATGCCTTACCGTTAACAGAGTTAAATGCCATCTTTAGGTTGAAAATTAGACTAGAAGTTAAGTTGTTATAAATATGCTTGTGTTTTTAGATCTATTCGAAAACAAAAATCTGATCCGTATACCTCTCATGAGGTCCCCTTTAGTTTCTATTTCCTGAATTCTTGTTAGAAATCACATGACTGTACGAAATGGAATGTAAGAAACGATGAATCAGGTTCATTCCTTTGTCATCATCACACCGGATATTTTGTATTTTATCGATAATATCCACGCATATAACTCTCAATCATTGTTTATTGCTTCTGCCTCTATGTTCTTGACTTTTTCTATTGGTCATCACCCAAAACCATCTCACAGAAACGCTTTTATCGTACGTGTAAACACTTTTTCCGATTGTCGTAATTAAGTTCATTTGGGTCGAGTTTCCATATTTCTGTTAGTTCTATTAAAATCATCGAAGTCAACGTGTCTTTCACGACTTTTCGATGGTTACTTCCTGTCTTTTACTATGCTTTTGAAGCATTTTAGATGCAAAGTTTCCCACATCAGAATAAGAAATTATGTCGCTTTTTATTGATGTTATCGACGGTTCTTCGTTTGCGGTGCACCTAACAATTTCTCTTTAGAAACTGGTCAGCGAATCGCCTCACAGTTACATAGATATACGAACGCCCAAATGAGTTTACGGCTAGAGGTTATGTACGTGCCGCTAAAATAGCAACAATCTTTACTCATATCTAACCATATTAGGTGATGTATAATTTTTTTTATATCCATGTTCATGTTAAGGCCATTGACTGTCAGGTTATATGGTATCTCATCTAATAACCTTATTTTAGGCTAGATGTAGAGAGATGGGTGTGCGAGCTCACTGTCAGTGAAAAGATCAAAATAATCGGTTCACGGGAATTAAGTTGAGTAAGCTTCACCAATGTACTTTTATGAGCTAGCCTACATAGTGCGTATTCATGTTAGTCCTTAAGGCAGTTGTATCGATACATGTTGAGTCTTTTCTATGTAACCTTTTGTCGAACTCATCTTTCACTTTGTTTAGTATAAATAAGTGGACAGGAATTATCAAAAATATGTACATTTAAGTCGTCTTATTGAATTGAAACAGTATCATCTAGTCGAACTAAAATTCAGTTAAAAAGTATTCTTACTGCTATCTTACTTCATATCATTGTTACACCGGCGAGAATGTATGAGCTAGCTATCGAAACGCTTAGCATTAGAAAGTTAAATCTTGTAAACTCACTACGCTAGACAAGTGAATTCAGCTTTCACGTTAATTTTGTTCACATGTTTTAAGAATATTTTTCATGTATACAACCGGCAGTATCATAAACCTTTTCATTATATTGAGTACATCAAATTTCAAATGGTTTCATGATCATTTCATCATTTTTATATATGATATTTCAGTACTATCGGCTGCCAGAGAAAGACAAAAGCATCATAATGAAATAAATAACACACTACCGAATACCGATAAAAGAAGTTCATCAACTGCAGAAGTGAGGGATACCTATCAAGAAATCAGTTTGACTCCAGATATTCACTCTGAAAAATCTAAAGAATCCCACAGAAAAATCCTCAGTTGCAGTGGAACACAAAATGTTCCTATAAGTGATATCAATGTTAATGAGCATAATAAAAAACTGAGAAAATTTGTCAAGCCTCAACTCAAAGAGGCTGTCAAATGTTTCTCAACTCTATGGCCTGAAAAAACTTATGATTCCAGATCAATATTTTCCAGTAGATCATGTTTTTCAGATAGTATTTCAGTGAAATCACTACATAGTTTTGTTGAGGATAGTGATAACTATCATCATTATCGTCATACTGTGAATATATTTCGACTTCGAAGTCTTCCAAGTAGTCCCATAAAAAACTGTGAAACAAAAGCAAGCTCAGATATCAGTCAGGTGAGTAGTGCTCATTCAGATTTTCAGGTGCTAAAATTACTTATTTCAAATTTACTGGACATAAATCATTGTATCCTTGTATCTAGTTTTCTCTGATTAATGTTATTGAAAAAATCAATTTAGCTCTCTTTTGTGATTTAAAGCAAATATCAAGAATAAAAGCATGGAAATACTCCAGTTTTTTTTAGCTCTCCATCTTTACTGTGAATTCAGAAATGGTAAAACTATTGTTTTCTTCATAAATATTTATGTTAATCTATTCAACTCATTTAATTCAGCGTTTTTTATCCATCTCTCTGATACTGGATAACGCTCTTTACTTTTACTTTGGAATGATGAGTAGCAATTTTGTAAATAATTGAGTTGGTTATCATATGAATCATTTATTACGATTGGTGTAACTTTGAAATATTCGATTTACATTTTCTAATCATTTTAATTCGACAAGTATTTCTTAATTGCTATGATGTTGATGAAATGTGTATCACTGCTAACTGTATCAACATTTCATTGTAGTGTTTTTTTATACTCAATTATTTGAAATGATTCTTCAAAAAGCGTTTCTTCTTATAGAGTGAAATCTAGATATATTCCTGATTTTTCTACTGTTTTTGGATCATTTGAATTGTGTTGGAAGTGAAAACTCTTACTTATTATTGTTCTATTGACTGCAAATCTATCTTCAGTTTATCAGTGTTCATGGATTCACTCTTCATTTGATTAGATTGATGAGAGGTTTATGCAATTTGCAGTGAATCAGTAAATTGTAGACAGATTTAGTTATCGGTGTTTATTAGCAGTGTAATATTTTTCGTTGTCTTGTAAACATTAAGATTTTAAAAAATGACATTAACGCGTAAAAAGAATTTGTCCGTAATATGATACATTTCATTGGTTTATATTTGGTATTTAAGTTTGTGTACTGACTGAGTACCATGCAATCTTCTGAATAGTAAGTCTGTCTTAAACATTGATGTCCTATTGAAGAGATTTAGGACATCTACACGAGAGAACGTTTATTACGAACAATTGGAATGGTAGTGGTTACATATGGTACTCCTTGCACTAACCCAGCCATTTGCAAAATGTCTTCGTTTCCTCTCCGTTCCTGTCTTGATTTGCTCTTGACCTGCTCTTCATACACTCTTATCAGCAGCATCCCCTGTAATACGCCTGTGTTGTCCCCTGCGTTGCTCTTGGTAGAAACCTTACCCATTGCCGGTAATTCCCTATGATCCCTGCCACCCTCTCGATATATACTACTTATATCCGTTGTTAACAGCAACGCCCATTACACTATGATCTCAAAGGTTTTTTAGTCTAAGTACTCCTTAGTTTATTTATTTTTTTGAAGTCAATACTGTTATACAGTTGCATTTAGCTATGTTCTTATATGTTTTCTTTTGTTTTAGTATTTAGTCACGAGTATCTATTCAACTGTCAAGTAGCAAGTTAAACACCTCAATTACACAAAAGTTCTTTACTTGATTTAGTCCACAAGTAAATAAATCAATGACTAAAAATATGGGAATACCAATATTGACAACCCGCTACTTCTCAGTTCCATAGTAAACTATGAATGCTCACCTAAACTATTTTGGTTACGAAGCCATGAGACACCCATTGTTGGCCAGTAGCCATCAGTTTTGATTTGTAACGTCTATAACAGTTACCAATCAATGAACATAAACCTGTCATATATGACTATAAAATAAATTCAAGAAATAGTTTTTCTTAAAAGGCCTATTCAACGCATGAGTGTTTACCCAATGAAAAGAACTTATACACTTTCCTTGTCACAATTATTTTCAAACCGTCTTCTACTAAGTGGACACTATTATTATTTATTGATACAACAATATAAATAAGTAGGTGTTTCGATTTTAACTCGTAGTCAATCTTGAATCGCTATCGCAGTCTGACTTTAAATCTATAAATATTTAAGTCGTTTCTGTTTACAGTACTAAATAAAACCTTTTTCTTATAATGATAAGTTGAAAATATGGTATATGATAATTTCCAGAACTGTATTTCAGAAATTTATTAAAAAATGTAGTTCTTGACAAAAAACAAACAAACAAATCCTTGCACTAATATCTTCTTGTTTTTTCCTAATTTGAATTACTTTCAGATTGGTCCAGGTGCAGTTAGTGATGCACCACAATTGAGGCCTATTCGTAAAACATCTTCAGTTGATGAAGCCCGTATGACTACGAATGTTAAACAACTGGAATCTGTGTATAAAAGGCAACAAGCATGTCAACGTTCCTCTGTGATCATTTTACCGAATAATTTTTTAAAGTCAAATTGTCATGCGAATTTGATCATTGTTCTTCCACAAAAAAAATATAAATTGGTGGTAAGTTTGTTTCTTCAGTTTGTATTGTACTGGGTTTATGCTTACTAATCAAGAACAATTCCAGCACTAAAACGAAACAGTGACAAGTGATACAACTATCCTTATTTGGACAAAATACTTACTGTAACATGTAAACGCATATATACTGTTTCAGTAATCAACAAGTGTTGAATGCTATTTGAAATGTAAGATAAGATATGAATGAAATACTTTGAAAATATTAGCTTTATGTCGGCTAGCAGTCAAATTTAGAAAAAATGTTTTACTATGTTTTGGATTTGTCAGCTAGATGTCACCATACCCCACCACGTCTGCCACCCAATGAGTTATAGTACTTTCGCTTAGACTTGATTAACGGAAAATTACTGGGGCGTGTGTGTACAAGAAAAAATTTATGTAACATATCTGTATGTAACCAACGCAAATGAAATGAATATATGACATTTCATGTTCTGAATCTAAAAGAATTACATGTTAGAAGAGGTAATAGTTTTTCACTTCCACATAATAAAATATTGAATCAGTTGTGGAAAAAAACACAGTTTTCCTGTCAAATAGAATTTATTTCGTCCAATAGTGTATTATATCAAAAGACGATTGATTTTTCACATTTTGAAGACGAGTAGTTAGCACTGCATAATTATTTGAAGTTATGTTAATAAACTTTCATTATACGGTTACGAGTGAAATTAACACCAGGATAATGCTATTCAGATCACTGAATAGCAGCAGTGTATAACTATTGGTTCATTAGCAAGGAATAATCAGATCCTCTTCCCTTCCTACTTTTCTAGTATATTTCATGGAATTCCTTCAATTGAATAACATTTTTTAAGCCTATTGCAAGTGAAATTATCCTCAAGTACTCAAAACATAATGATGTGTTTTATAAACGGTTTTTCTTTATTTTAGGCTTCTTGAGTTTGAACCTCAATATGATTATGAGCAATAAGTTGGGCTCAAAGTATCAACTATTGTTTGGTATATCAAATAAACTAGTCTGACATATTGATTTCAGGTTTGCAATTGTCACGGACTGACATCGATTGGAGAAACACTGGAAACCTGGGAGCACTGGACAGGTGTCGTGTTCTGGCGTCGGAATCCTCAGAAGTGCACACTCATGACCCCGCCAATGGTGACTACCAACCTGAAATCAATAAACAAATCCCCACAGCATACTAAACAGGATAACTATAGTGCTCATTAAAGTCTCGCTTTGCAAGGTGATTCTCGTAATTCTAATGAAAAGTCGTGACTGGTAAGGTCAATGAAGTCGAACATGAGGACAGTTAATCAACGGTGGCATTGGATGAAGGTTGCGCTACATCGTGAACTGATAGAAGTAGGAAATGTGAATGATTAGATTCAGGCCCAGTGGCTCAACGGTAACTTGCTGGTAACGGAACCTGAAGGCCCTGGTTTTGATCCCTGGTAGGGTCATGGGTTCGCACTACTGAGGAATCTTGTACTAGGGTGAAAAAGGTATCCAGTTCTCTCAGGTTTTCAGTGTTCCTCCAACTGATTTCAGTCCATGGTGAATACGAACCTGGAATCAATAAATAAATCCTAATAAACCCCGAAACTGAATAGTGTAATATAGAATTGCACTACTACACTGCATAATTTCCATACTTACATCTGGTTATCCAATACTAGTTTTACTAACTTTAATCACTTTCTGAAAACTAATCACTCTTAAATTTTGTCATCAATTCGACTTTTATCTCAGGATATGAATTATGAGAATTTTTTTAACTCGATTTGTATGGTTTTAGAGAATAGTTAGTATTCACTTAAAGTTATGTCAATAGGCTATTCTTCACTCTCGATTTTCATTTACTTTGAAGTAATATCATAATTTTTACTTTGTACATTACATCTCTTTTAATCACTTTCAGAATCTAAAATCGTTTAGAGATTTCTACCTGAGAAACTGTCCACCAATGAAATCCAAAAGTTTAGACTTCTATCATAGCTTAAAAGATAGCTCTGGGAAAGAATTCACTCATGCTGATGCTGAAAGTCGTCACACTTTGAATTTTTCAAATAAAGAAGCGAATGATTCATTAACCGACTGTATATGTACGGATAAGAATATAATTGGTGCGGTGCGCTCCTGGCAGGAAGGAGCTGTTTGGTCAGTTTCTATTGATGATGATAATAATACTGATGTAAATCTAAAATCGACTTCAGAAGAATTGTCTGGCGAAGATTCGTCACTCAGGCCATATGAAAATAGAAAGCCCAGACTATGTGAATTAGCAAGTTTCGAAGGCATGCATTTCTGTTCACCAATAAAAGTAAGTGTTCAAATATGTTTTCAAAAATGGTTATTTCAAAAGCGTTTTATTATTAAAGAGAGTGACTAGCAGTAGAACCCAGGACGTGTATTTCGTCCTATTTTTGACTCGTCAGCTGGATGTCATTATTGTCTTAAAAAATCGTACAGATTCATTTTCTATGATAAATATTACCTCTGACAGATGGCTGTACATCTCAAATATAAGACGTTTTGATGTTGCTTAACTAGTAAAAGCGGTAGAATAATTCCAAGTAACTTCTGTTGAATCAAAGTATGACAAGACGCGTTTATCAAGTTGCAACCAGATAGACAAACCGATAAAGAACTGTAGACCAGAGGTCAGAGATTCAATTTGTAACAGTTATACTGCTTACTGATTTTTAAAGATAGTTAAAAATCTGAACCACTGAATGGTTTTTAGATAAGTTGGTAATGTATAAACGCAGTCAACGTTTATGGATTACTATATTCACTATAATTCCTTTGTTTTCCATCGGTTTGCATTCACTACCTAACAACATTGATGATAATTGTGCAGAGTTTTATAAAATGTGCATCTTCAGTAACATATGCATCTGATTCTGTGCTTACAGTTCAAACATATGGTTCTTGTGCATCGGGTAGAATAATTCTTCCATTTATATATCCTTAACAATCCCATTATTATTCGTTAGTGTTTGAAAGCATTACGACAGCCTACTTTATACATTCTGAGGAAGTCAGCAACTCATGTGTTGGTATTTTTTTATTGACCATGTGTAAGCGAATTGAGTATCAATTAAACCTTTTCTCATTGGTTAGGTGCTACAAATTTAATAAACTCTACTTTACCGGTTTTTCGCTTTTGTCCCTCGCCGTGGTAATTACGACTGTTTCAATAGTAAGAAGTAAAAAAAAATACTGGTATAATCACAGGTGCCTATTTATAGTGTTTTCAACCAGCTTTGGAACACTTCTGACTTATGTTTTGGGTGAAGACTTTCTTTCAGTTGGTAAATATTTTATAAATTACCTTGTGGTTTATTTTTCCTCATTGACTGGATTTTGTCTGAAGTCGATGTTTTAAAATGGTCGTCATACTCCGTCTATGTCATCACCTGATACATTGGGTACAAATTAACAATAAGTTTTCTTGCTATGACTTATGATGGTAGAGTTTTTCATCGTAAAACATGAGATATCTTGCATCCTTCTGGGTGTAAGTGTCTATGTCTTATCTGATGGGAGAACCAATCTTGTGCAATGCATTTTTGGATTCCAATTTGCGAAATGTGGGTTTTCCCGAGTTAACTGTTTGTCAAAGCAGTTGATATTGTAGGTGCACGCCATCGTTGTTAAACTAGTTTTTCCGATATTTACACTTGCCTTCTTTGTATTACAGAGTTTATATTTTCGATGTCACTTATACTGAAAGTCTTCTTAATTTGTCCTTAGTGTATGCAAGGCACTTCATCTATAGAATTTAAGTTTTTCTGCACATTACCAATATGTTCACCACCATATGATGGTAGTTAGCACAGAGTCACTTGGCGTATTTTTGTATATTATGTATAGAATACTGACCGTCATTACTGATACATTTTCTGGGTTGGTACTATTTGGAATTATCGAATTTCATTATAACTTGCTACTTTAGTTAAAAGTTAATCATTGCTGCCTGAACGATATACAATCCCATTATCCATGACACTTATACCATCGATTGCATGAGTGTCACCATATTTATTTTAATGCATCAAGTTATTGTTTTGTGATTGACTTCACCAGTTTTCATGCACTTTTTCGCACACTACTCGTTTCTGAATATTTCATTTGGGCATTGTATGGACTCATTAACAGATTCAGTCAATTTATTGCCCCAAATTCGTGCACAATTTGATTTTCCCTGGTAAATACTCGAAATAATAAGTACTTCACTTTCTTTCCCCCCCTCCATTTTTATTTGCATGTCCTCTACAAAGTGTGATTGATTTTTTCATCTGTATTACTCACTTTGGAATGAAGATCGCGCAGTCTCGCCTATATGACGTACGCTTTCTTTTATTGATGACACTTCTACTGAGGCTGAGATACGAATAGTGTCCAATGCATTATACATATTCCTGGGTTTACTGCTTTTCTTAATGAAATGTTAGTTGTAGGGGAATAACTAACACAACACACCAATATCTTTGTTGAGATTCAATTTTTTTCAAAGCCGTCAAAAGTCATGGTAAGATTTCCAAAAGATTTCAGCAACCAAAACAGCCCGTTAACTTCTGACTTCTAACCAAGGTGAATTAATTCATAATTAATTAATCAGACTAATTAGTTAATAATAATAGCTTTATTTTAAACAAAATGCCTGATACATTATGGAATCCTCAATAAACTAACAAATTTACTCCCAAAACAATATTTTCAGACGAAATGTTTATGGCATCTGAATGATGTTCGTAATAACAGCATTGAAGGTAACAATATGAAGCAACCGGTATGCACTGAATGAGCGCCCGATATTCAGCGTTTGTGGTTCACTTAGCTAGTAGAAGAATGCACTATTCGAGATAGGTATCCGAAGAATAGAAATATGATATATTTTTGTGCATTCAAAAGTTCATTTTCGTTTAATATATGACATTTTGCCTTCGTTTTGTTATTACTTCGGAAAACGACTAGTTCAGGATATTTTAAAAATCTTCAAAAGTACCCTATAGCTTCAGAGGATAAATTTAAGGGATTAAAACAAAATGAAAGAAAGAAATTTGACGTAATATGTCTGGTGGAAAATCTTATTGGTAGCCCAAAGTTCAAGCAGGCCGCCAAATCACAATTTAAATAATTATGAAATGGTGACACTTGAGGTTCTCCTCCATAATATTATTGTCTGAATTTCCAGCTGTGATCTCTTTCTTGTGTCATACTAAACAGGTTTAAAAAAAATATTTTTATATATTTTAGGATCGAAATTTGACCTGATAGAAATGAATAGGTTGATCATCGGGTTAAATGGATTATAAAGGAAATACATTTTTAAAATCCCAATGAGTTATTAAAATTAATTTATGACATTTTGCAACCTCATAGAAGCCACTTCTTCGGGGAATAAAATCTATACAAGTCATCGCGTGTTTAAATAGTAAGTGGAGGAAAATCATATCACATCCATGCCTTATAATAACATGGGCATAAATGTTGTCGTTATCGGTTATTGGTCCGTGAATTCAAGTTGATGATGTAAATGTGAGTACAAATATGAATGGATGTGAAAGTGTAGGAAAAGTTATCTGAATGATGAATTCGCTGTTTGTGTGTATGTAGTTTAGTTGCGATTAACGTATGCATTGTGTTATTTCCGATATACTGGTTGGGCCGAAACCTGGTGGTCACTGGTTTGAATCCTGTCGCGGCCCAAATTTTCATTTCATTTTCAATCATTAATCAGTATCGAGTTGTTTGTTTTAATAAGTCTCAACAGGAAGTAACCAAACTTATGATATTTGCTGGGGATTTTAAAAAATATCTTTTGCTGCGCCGTATAAGTTTGAAAATACTACTTTCTGATTATTTGTAATCAGTGTTCATACCGTTGTTGATAACTATAGATGTTATTTAGTATTAGCTGATGAAAGAATGTGCAAACTAAGCCTCGCCTTATATAAGACTTATGAAATGAGTTAGTCTTAGTATGAAGATATTCCCACCGATATTCTAAGTCTAGTACCCACCATTTCAATATTCTAACCGGCAGACTTTCAATTACTATGAGAGTAACGTCTGCTGCAGAATAAATCACGATGAAACGAATTGCTTTACGTAGGTTGTAATAGTTTAGCTTTATATGGTGCTGAGCTGTCATAGCCAACTATTACGCGAATGATGTAAGGTATCCATATAAGTATCCATAGGTATCCATACAAGTTGTCGTATCTCCCATATTGGTTTACTGAACCGAATTGATCGCTCTCTGGTTATGAACATAGCTTTCACATGAATGCGTTCACTTTTTCGTAGATTTATGTCCTGGTGACATGCTTTGATGGCTAATACTGAAATCCAGTTGACGGTTATGCCTTGTAAATAATTATCCTTACTATTTAATTTCTCAGTAACATAAAAGCACCAAATCTCCTAAACTTCTATTTCATTGCTACCTTTTTCTTCGTTTAAGTATTCATGTTCAAGTAAAACGTTGGATGATTATACAGTGTCGCATGATGATAATAACGAAGGTACACCTACAGACTCGTCAGTACGAGACACAAACTCTCCTTATAGTACTAACATAACTTATTCAAAGAAATTTATCAGTGATTTCGTCCTCATGAATATGATTAAACATCACAATGAACGAAAAGAGGCTGATGTTCTTTGCGATTCAAAACCATCAAGAGTTATTCATACAGAGTCACCCACAGAAGTCTCAAATGAAGATGTTCACTCGAACGCTACAGAAACTGCTTCATTTTACACCTCAATTTCAACGTCCACAAGAAAAAAACTACCTTGGGAAGAAGCAGCAGCGTCTTTTGCACCGAAATATCATTCCAATAAATTGAACAGTTCAGTTACTTTCAAGAAGACAAATAAACCGTTTTCAGTGAAGATTCCTCTTACTCAATCTCGTAAAAAGTTCGGAGCGAAATTTGGCATCTATGATGACATAAATTACAAGAATTCGCCAGTTGGTTCAGGTTTCATCGACCATATAGAAGTGATAACAAGTGTTTGTGAGGTTCCTGCAACTCGGTGATTATTGGTTCCTATTACATGTTATGCAATATTAAACTGCACACTACATTCCTCCTTCTACTTTTGCGTTTCTCTCGTATCTACCGAAGATAACATCATGATGTTGATAGCAGGAAATAATAATTTTTCTTAATATCATATGTTCATGAACAATACGAAGTCTGCATTTCATATCAAAATGTAAAGAAGCAACTTATTTTGTCTGATCTATATATTGGGCTTTCTGTTATTGTCTTTGTAAAGAGTTGGTTATTAATAAAATCAAAACATATGTTCAGTTTTCGTTATTGTCTTCTACTGTTTATTTTCTTGATTTATGTTTTCATCTTTCATGCTTTGTTTTGAGTGGCTGATCACTGTTCATCTCATGTTTAACTATGGAAATCTTTTAGAACGCAGCTGTATGTCAATTAGTTTCCAACAGTTTGATGTAAATAGATTTTGATTATGTAACATTTCTGACCTATGAAGTTGGTAAAGTTTCGTTCTCATTTTTATGTACTAAAGTTTATACAGGAGAAGTTGCTTTATTGCTAAATACCATATAATAAACTTTGAGTAACACCAATGGAAACAAATACTTTTTGCTGAGATTGTATCTTACAATTACTTCTGGAAAGCTATCCCTTAGTGTGATGTTTGATACAGCTATTATGAAACCATGCACATGCACCGCTTAAGATGATTGCTTTATAAACGTCCAGGACTTGATGCAGGCGACTCTGGAAACCCATACGACATGTGAATTGAGGTGAGTTTTGTCGCATCCTGGGGATTTTCCTGCGCAGAACTCTGACACCTTTTCAAGAATCACAGCAAAGGTTAATTGTAATCTATGTAACTCTTCTACATTGAATAATGTTGAGGATTGTTCAGACAGATGATAAGTTTGTTTGGCCAACAGAACGTTCAGCTGCGTATAAAACATAGCTCTGAGCGTTTCGGCAACTTCCAGTTCAGAGAGGTTCTCTCCACCCCGGGTTCTTCAGAACACTTGATCACTGGCTATTAAATTTCTGCTTGCCATGAATCGATATAGGTTCTTGGGGTTTGTCTCAAGCTTCTGGCGAAGATTTGTCCTAAATGATCTCGTATCCTCCACACTTTAATGTTTCATCCATTCCTTACGGCTATACATACATCGTAATCTGACTCTCTTCTGAAGAATCTCCATCTGTGCCTCGCTTTCCTTTCGACTTTCAAGAGGTGGTCACTGCTTCGCTTTTGCCATGAGGTTTGCTTCTTCTTACTAAACCTGTTAAGCAGTTTATCGTTTATCTGATAGCAATTTAACCTTAATTCGTTATTTACACAGTCAAAAATCTGAGCACATTACATTAGTGGCAATGGCATATAATTATACGGTCACCCGTCAGTCTCCTTAGGTTCAAGGCTTATAAGTTAACAAATAAAGAGAGTCAAATTATCAGAATCCTGCTCACATTAGTCTAATAGGTTTCAAGCTACCGATAGAGTAATCATCTTTTTGTTGTGTTAAGAAGTGGAAATGACAGACATCCTACTGAAATGAACTAAAGTTTTTTTCTTGCTATTGTGCCTAGTCTCCGTTTAAAATAATTCGGGAAACTGTAAGCCTTTATCTAAAGGGTAGCTGGGTTACTTTAAACAGTTCGAAAGAAACCTACTTCATTAATTCATAAGATAGTTGACTTGTCTTCCCACAGTGCGAGAAAACGACTAACGGCATTTTAGATCACAATTGTTTTATGCAGGCCAATATAAGATGTGCTAAACTAACACAATCACCCCTCATCGCTGTCAAACACCTTTTTTTGCTGTTGGCAATCGCACATTGTTTGGATAGCTGAGACGTGAACCAAGTAAATTATTAACTTATGGAAGTGACTACCACAGGCAACTAGCTGGTATTCGCTTCGGGAGAAACTAGAGGAACATCTTATGTCCATATGAGGTTCAACCCTAAAATGAGCTCCAGAAAACTATCCAACTGTTTGCTTTTAGCCTATAGCTGCTTTGAGATATGTACCCTAAATCCTTTCGCTTCGTTTGAATCCTAGATAGCCTACTTAATTAAGATTTAAATGGGAGTCAGGTATATCATTGCTTGCCATCTTGATGGCCAGTTATCTCGTATTTTCAACCCTTGACAGTCTGTGTAAAACTATAGTTGCATCATGGTTACAACTCTACCTACGACAAATGTTGGCGGCATCATTACACTTATCGATCAGAAGATGACTGAAAAGGCAGATATACTTGATGCCAAAGGTATAACAAGACGAACAGCATATGCATCCAAGACCTGCAAGTAAAGATTGTAAATCTTCTTTGAAATGTTTGGCACACAATTTCCTGGACCTCTATGTAAGTGACAAAATGCTTCAGGAATTTGTAGTTACCTAGGTGAGGTTGCATAAAATAATCAATATGCGACCGAAGGATGGTATCTCGCTTTAGTTTTTAACTTTATAATTCCGACAACACTATTCACCCCACATACCTAACACTTTTAGTCGCAAAAGTAATCTTCACATTGTCGAAAAGTTGTTTGAGAATCAAAGAAGAAATACTGAACTGGAAAACAAACGTACTACGCTTTTGAGACTGACTTAACAGCCATTAAATTTGGACAAATCGTTGTTAGTAATGTATACATGTGGTCTCAGTAAATCACTCAGCATTTCCTGTCAATACTTGAAGTATTTTGGTCAACTGTAGATATTAGGTTAGCTACGTCCAAATAAGCAACAGTCCACGTCAAATTATTCTGGCTACAGTGTACTTTTGACACCCGAAACATTCCGCACCCCAATAAAATCTCGGAAAGTGATCATTTTAACGATTCCCTGAGCAACAATTGCTCTCGTAACGTCAGCTGTTCACAAAATCATTTATAACCTATATCTGTCTGAATTCAAAACTCCGAAAGACGTCGGTCCTTTGAGCAGTGGCGATCCAAGTTCAGAACTCGACTACAGTAACGCTCCCCACATAGAAAAACATGGTCAGGCCCTTACCCCCGCTTAGCACGCTCTGACGTGTTCCCTTTTAATTAATTTATTAGATTTATCACAGAGTATAACGGTATTTTTTATTAGTTGACGTTTTGGATATAATTTATTGTCCATTGTCATATTAAGACAATCACACAACTTTGAGATATCCTTTATCAAGTCCTAATTTTCTCCCACCCTTTGTTATGTAGGTAGTAAGATTTTCTAAATATCCGCAACAGGTGCTGAGTTATTCCTGTTGCATGTGTTAGGTACGGATCGGATTCAGTTATCAGTCTCTCCCTCCACCCTGCTATGTTAGTTTTAAGGATTTACACCCTGTTTCATCCTACTGTGTAGTTGTGTTTAATTGTAGCCATAGCTTTGGCTGAGCTGTTTTCTAAATTTCTTATCTTACTAAGATCTACCAGTGGTGACCTAGCTAGGTTTTTGTGGTCAGATAGCCTAATTGACCCTGGTCGGCTACTTCGGCCTATGTATTTGACCTTGCAATCGTTATAAGGGATTTGGTAGTCTAAGCTGCTCTGCTTGGTGAGATTGAGATGAATGCATCAAAAAAGTCAGAAGACTTACTCATAGACTAAAATTTATATCAATCAATGGTGAAAAATCCCATTCAAAAGTCTGACAACGAAGTTACCACGGCCTTGAACAAACTCGTCAAAACATGAGAAATTATAAAAGAAGTCCACTGTCGAATGAAACTCAGTGGATCTTTTCTCTCATGTTTCTACGATAGACCAAAAATACACAAGCCAAACATCACACTATGACCAGTTGTTTCACTTCCAGGAACCCTAACATACAATCTTTCAAAAGAGCTCTTCATAAAATTAACGCATCCGGTGGAATCATGCGACCACTCTATCAACTCTTCGACACAATTTTTGGAAAAGATCAAGTATATTCATATTGAGAACGACAAACTGAAGGTGTCTTTCAACGTTACAGCCTTATACACCCCAACTGAACCGAAAATGATTCAGAATATAATGACTCTTCTTCTCAACAATGATACACACCTCTCGGAACACATAAAACTGCAATGTTCAAGTTTGATGGAATTTGGTGATTTATGCTTTACAACATATTCTCATTTCAACAAAAATCTCTACAAACAGACAAAGGGAACCTCAATGGGATCGCATATATCAGGACTAACTGTAGAAGCTGTTATGCAAAGATTGGAAACTGTTGCATTGCTGTTAATCAAACTAAAACTTTACGTTCTATATGTTCGATGGTCATGAATTAGATGTGAAAATCCTGGATCGAGGAAATACAAAGAATGTCAGAGAATTTTTAGAAGCTTGGTATTTAGGTTGGTCAACAGACTTATTGACATTGACCCAATCTGTCAACTAATGAAAAACAACAAGAAGGTCAAATTTCAGGTCATCAGGACAACCAATCAAAATAAACATGCGACAGTGACTAGACCTTAGCAGAAACAACCAATCACGCACAAGGCTATCAGGACAAGCTACTCAGTGAATTGCGGCGATCTTGCAACCCGTTTCTGAAGTTTGTGCTGATGTCTAGAATGACGACGAAAGCTCCACGATTAAATCATTCAGTTCATAGAACGCAACACCATCAAAAAGGGACTGAACATTCTCACGATAGATGAGAACTAGACAAAAGTGAAGGGAATAATCTTCAGGGCAATTTGTCACAGCGTGCGAGAAGTTACATGCTGATCATCATTGATAAACTCATCGCTAAAGCACGGAATAGAGAGGCTGCTCCAGACCAACAAATATGTGTAGCTCAAATGGTGCCAATTATGCAAGGGGTCAGATTACTAAACATACAAACGAATCCACAAACAATGCAACATATGATTCCGTAGTGCCGTGTTTAGCTATCACTCATACCTGGGGAAAAGGTTATAGAATAACCCAAAAACGCTTTATTGCATCCTATTTTAAAACCAATCATCTATAACATGTTTTAATCTCGTAACTAACCCAAGCGGAGATGCTCTGAGAAGTTTAAGAATGAC